GATGGCTGAGTCAGTTAAGTGTCCGACTTCAGCTCAGGTCATGATCTCGCAGTTTATGAGTTCGAGCCCCGCGTTGGGCTCTGGGCTGACAGCTCAGAGCCGGGAGCCTGCTTTGGATTGTGTGTCTTCCTCTCTCTCTGCCCCTTCCCTACCTGTGCTCTGTCTCTCTCTCAAAAATAAACATGAAAAAAATTAAAAAAAAAAAAAACACCCACTCATTTGATCAACACCACCCTTAGCTTAGGACTTCACACTTAGCAGGCCTACTACATGGTTGCTAAATGAATAAACAAAAGAGCACTGGCAAGAAGAAACAAATGAGCCCTTGAAGTCCTTTCAACATACAGAATGTTCTGGAGAGCATTCACATCAGGCTAGTAACCTAAGGCCAATGGCTTTGAATGTCCTACAGAGTGGACTGGTTAAAATGCGTCTCCCTTCTCTAATTGCCACATATTTTATCATACCCGCTATTGTATTTGGCCATCCCTGTAACTGCATGTTTAACCACTCCTTACTGGTACTATAAGGATTTTAACTATTTCATCTATCTATCTATTATTATTATTATTAATTATCGCATGTTGAATTGCTCTTTGTGGGTCTATATTCCGATAATCATAATAGTAATAATAGTCACAGTAATAACAATTAATCCTATCACGTACAAGACCTTGAGCTAGTACTTTATATGCACCATCCATCATTTTCATGTCTTAGGTAAAATTCAGATTATAATTTCACTTTATAATAAAGATATTCTAAATTCATCCGAGGTCACATGGCTGAAAAGCAAATGAATGAAGAGCCCAACCACATCATCCTGCCACTTGCTTTTTTACAATCTGAGCACACAGTTATCGCTAATATGCATAAAAATAAAAATATTGAAGGCACTTGGTATAATTATCTAATTTATCCTGCACCGCAGTAGCTCCCAAAGAACATGAATCTGGCATTTGAGAATGGGCGGGAAGTAGCCAATGTATATTTTCGTCAGAAGTCGTAAATATACCATCAGCCAGGTACAGCATGTTACACACTACTATCAGTTTATAAATTCCTTGCTCTCTCCTGCTGCTGAGCTGTCTCTTTCCTTGGAAGCTCGCTGGTCTTTCCTCCATATGACCTCCAGCTTGATCTTTCTAAAACCCCCATCTGCCCCCTCCACTTGCAAGTTACACGTCAGCCTTGACTCTATGTCCCATCTACCAAGGGGAGCATGGTCTCCAGCTGGTCTTTTAATCCCTTCCCATTCAAATTCCAACCCATTTGGCCAGCCGCAGGCCTGGCCGCTGCTCCCAAAATGTCAATCCTGGAGCCGTGGCGAGTTACTAGAAATCTCGCTTTTGCACATTCTTTCTTTCTGCCTGAAATGCCAACTACAATCTCTTATTCATGTTATTTTATGACTCACAGAGCTTTTACAAGGTCCATGAAGATAGGAAATATACACATTTTAAAATCATTGTATCTCCGTACTCAGTGTCTGTCACATAGTAGGTTTCAATAAATATTTGCTCTGGATTAATTCAAGGTAAAAAAAAAAAAATACACATTTTCTGGGAAAACTCCCAGAAGTCCAGGAAAAGTTGCTTCTTCCTGTGTGCTCCCATGAGGCTTTGATATTCTAATTGCCACATTGTTATGCAATGAAATTATGTATTTCCATGCCTTTCTCTGGGGCTAGACTCTGAGCTCCTGGGTGGCAGAGACCAAATCTTACTCATACTTGGGTCCTTAACAACCAGCACAGGGCCTGGCTTATAGTAAGCCTTCCTAGATTTCCTGGAATTGAAAATGTAATTCTAAAGCAATCACGTGAGCTGAGCAGGGCGGGTGTTATGCTTCTCATTTCACAGTTGAAGAAACAGGGACCCAGAGAGGAGAAAAGTCTTGACTCAATTTTCATTTGAAATCAGAGGCCCAGACAGGGCTTGGGACCAGGCCTCCCAACCCCTAGTTATAAAGCGCTGTTGGTGGCCACTGAACAGAGGAGACCAGGGTCTTCCTGACTCATCTGCAGAGGCTGCCTCAGGTCTGCTTCTGAGATGGGCACAAGCATGTGAGTGTCTTCAGGGGGCAGAACTGGATGAAAGGAATCTGCTTAGCAGTCAAGGCGATAGTCTGGGGGAGCTCGTGAACTCCCTGGCGGCCAGGCACTGAATCCTAGGCAGGTTTGTCAGCACTAAGATGCTGAGAAGTGCCAGGAGGCACGGGGCCATTTTTTGACCTTCTTTTCAAACTCTGGTCCTGTGGTGGTGGCCTGCCACACACCCAGTGTCCTCTCTGGCCAACTTCCCAGGAACTTCTTATCACCAGAGTAACCCGGGTGTCCGTAACTATAAATAGGCCCCCTTTCTACTCAAAAGCGTCCTACTGTGGACGGTAAATTACACGGATCCCTTTTCCCTCCCGCACTGGAAAATATGCGTAGGAGCATGTAGAAGCTTAGAGGGCTCCAAGAGTCTTTTAAATTCTCCTTTCCCAGTCTCTTGCTTTTTTTTTTTTTTTTTTTTTTTTAATTTTTTATGTTCATCCCCCAACCAGATTGCTTCTGGTTTACCAAGAGGCACTAGATGAGGACCTGGAGTTCCTAGCCTCTGCAGGAGTTCAAGCCCCTTTGCCTGGTGTGTTTCTGCCCCAGACAGAGAAGAACTCGAGTCTGGCTTCCTCCCCAGAACGAATAATGGGCGGGGAAGGGCCAGTGGCAAAACTGCACCCGATTCTCCAAATTGAGTGCATTTGCCCTACTTGTGTGTTCTGGGGGAGAAGGTGGCTAAGAGTAGGGGCGATCCCTTGCAGCCCAGCACTTGCCCGCAGGTGTCTGTTTCACTGGGCCACCAAGGACCTCGGGGCACTGTCCCGAGAGAGGGAAGCGAATGAGGGCTTGGCTTGGGTGGTCTGAGTCCAAAGGTGTCTTCAGCTGAAAAGGCTCAAAGCGCCGGGAGTGCGGAGTGGGTGGAGGGGTAGGGAGGAGGGCGACACCAACCCAAAGGGTGACTGTTTTTAGATGCGAGGTGTTGGGGGGAAAGAGAAACCGATTTCTGAAACCTCCCCGCGCTGGCAACTGCTGGTTCAAGGATTCAACGGGAAAGAGCTCCCTGGAGCCTGAGCGGTGAGCCGCGGTGGCCTGAGGCCTCAGGTGCCTGCTTTCCCTGGGGAAGCGCCTGGAAGATGAACTAGGCGAGCGGTCAGGCAGCACGCGAGAATCACGCGCTGCGGGGACGCGGTGCAGCTGCGGCAATGGGGGACTCCAGCACCGCCGCCCGCCGTGGCGCCGTTGTCCCCCCCCCCCCCCCCCCCGCCGCCGCCTGGTGCACTTTCCCGAGCCCGGGCCGCGGAGATATCGCGTGCTGCCACCACACCTCCGACCGAGCTGAGGAGCGCCGAGCCGGGTGCCTGCCCGGGCTGGGCTGGGAGCCGCAGGCAGTGGCTGCAGGGCGCGGGGAGCCGCCCGATTGATGGGCGCCTGGCTCAATGAGGGGGCCCGGCGGGCGGGGTGGGGCCGGCCCTGGGTGCTGAGCCAGTCGCGGGAGCCGCGGGGAGGGCGGGGGGGCGGAGGTTCCGTGTGGAAATGCGTGTCGGTGACATTAGGGAGATGGAGGCGAGCGAGGGAAGCGTGCGCAAAATGCAAGCACACCTGGCAGCACACAGGCCCCGCCTGAGATCCCCGGCCACACGTGGGTAACTATTAATACCGCCGCTGGAAAGCCAGGAAGTGTAAGCGTTAGGGGGATTGGCCTCGCACGATCACATTACTTCAATAATTTTTAAATACACATTCCATACATCTGGGGAGAAAGAAAGAAAGAAAAAATAATAATAAAAGACGAAGAAGAAAAGCCATCAATTTTCTCCAAAACAGACCCCAATCGTGGGCACTTGGGTTGGTAGGGGAGGAGTTGCCGTAATATTCAGTATCCAGGATTCAGTGGAAAGCAGAACCAGGTTATTGGGCTGGGGCGCATCCTTCCATGCCCGGAGATTTCTGGAAGCTCGTAAAAAAGCGCCGGGGGGAATGGAGAGAGACCGCCGAGCCACCCGCGTCCCTGCCCGCACTTCTCCCTTTTTTTTTTTTTTTTTTTTTTTTTTCGGAGGACGATCTGGAGCACGAGCGAGCAGCGACAGCATGAGCCTGTGCTGACCTCCGCCCGGCGGGCCAACCCGGGCTTTGTCGCGGTACCTGCGCCCGGCCCGCGCCGCAACTCCGTGCCCGGCTTTTGTAATCTTTTGTTGGTAGCGCTGACCGCTCCAAGTTAAATGCTCCCTCGCTATTCTTTTTTTTCTGTTCTTTTTTTGTCTGTTTGTTTAAATTTTGGAGAGCTCTTGCGATCTTGGAAAAGCCTCAGACGCCATCTACAGTTAAAACGTAGGTAACTACCCTCTCCGGCGCCCCCTCTTCCACGCCCCCCACCCTTTCCACCAAAAAAGGGGGTGCAGCGCGGATTCTGTCTGCCGTGCGGCGCGAGCCGGTAGACCCGTGCTTATTTCCTTTTTCTTTTTGTTTGGTTTTCTAACGCGTTGAGACTGAGCCGCCGCCGTGCGCCCCTGGAAGATTGCACGAACTACGGCCGGGCTCCTCCGCCCCGTCTGCGTTTCGGAAGCCTGCGTGGGGATCGCTTCGGGAGACCGGGCGCTGCAGCTCCCCACCTTAGCAATCCGGTTACTCGCCTAGCTAGATCCGCGTTGGAAAGCGAGCGGGAGAGAGAGAGAAACTAAAAGTGCGGGGATTCTGCAGATCGCTGGCTGCTTTGGGGTAACAAAGGGACCCGAGTTGCTGCCGACTGAGCACCCCCGGGAGCCGGGCTCGGAGCAGACAAGGTGCCCGGCGGCGCCCATTTGGGGGCTTCTAACTCTTTCTCCACGTCGCCCCTCTCCCGTCCCCTCCCCTCTCGTTCCCTTTTAAAATCCGTGGCACCGAGGCGCCTGCAGCCGCACTCGCCAGCGACTCATCTCTCCAGCGGGTTTTTTGTTTGCCGAGTGCGATCCCCACACTCATGAACATACACAGGTCTACCCCCATCACAATAGCAAGATATGGGAGATCGCGGAACAAAACCCAGGATTTCGAAGAGTTGTCGTCTATAAGGTCCGCCGAGCCCAGCCAGAGTTTCAGCCCGAACCTCGGCTCCCCGAGCCCGCCCGAGACTCCGAACTTGTCGCATTGCGTTTCTTGCATCGGGAAATACTTATTGTTGGAACCTCTGGAGGGAGACCACGTTTTTCGTGCCGTGCATCTGCACAGCGGGGAGGAGCTGGTGTGCAAGGTAAAGAGCCCGGGGTTTGTTTTTGCTTTTTGTCTTTTAAAAAGATTCCCCGGCTGTTTGGAGGGGGCGGGAGGTCGCCGAGCCCCGGAGCCTTGGGGGAGGGAGACTCGCGGGATAATTACCCGTGGCCTCGTGAAATGGGTTTATTTATTTGTTCACGTTCGGCTAGTTGCGAAGTTTTTAGAGCGTTGCAGACAATGGGGCGGGCTGCGGCGGGGGCGTTTTGGGGAGAGCCTGGGGCGGGGAGGGCGGCGGGGACGGCGCGGGGGCCACGGCGGACACGCGTGCTCCCGAAGGCTCGTGGAGCGCCTGGGCTCAAGGCCGGGTCCCGCCGCCCAAGGGATTTCTCCCTGTGTCTAGCCCCCTCCCCTTCCACCGTGGAGTAGGGAATCCCCCGCTAATTTTAAGGCACTGATGACTGGGTTCCCTTCGCAGCCATTGTTCTTAGAAGCGTGCAGGTGTTGAACCTTTGTTCGGAAGGTGCCCTTTAAAAGACACACACAAAGGTGTCCCCTCTGGCGGAGCCAGGGGCCCAGCGCGGGGAAGTTTACAAAGAGCTCTCTACTGCCTGCAGCCTTGAAAGGAGGGTTGGGGGTGGAAATCAAAGCCGCCAGCGCACCTTAGGGTGTAGGAAATAGTGAGCCCTTTGGGTCCTTCTCTCCTCTCCTTTTTTCTCATCTCCGGACTTCCGTGCCTGAACACCCCCCCCTCGCTCCCCCCACCCCCAGCCCACACCTCTGCCTGTATGGTTTACAGGCTGGCGTTTGGAGCCCCAGACATTCGTAGTGCTAATTCAGAGCCGGGCACTTCAGTTCCCTTTTTGTCTCTGACCCCCAACAGTGACTGGTGTGTGTGTCTTTGTGTGTGTGCACTCCAGAGGAGGGGGGATGAGAGGGGGGATAGTTGCAAAAAAAGAGAGAGAGAGAGAGAGAGATTGGGAGAGAGAGAGAATAGAGTAGAGCCTACCGCTACCCAGGCATTGGACATAGATCAAGAATTCATTGTCACTTAATTTTACATTTGCTCACTCTTGGTTTTCCTGGGGGTCTGGGGGGGGGAGGCTAGGGGGGTGGTGAGCAATGAGGACCTTTGCTGTCTTTGAAATGGGCACTCTGCACAGCTGTGCTACAAAAAAATGCATCACACTTTTACCATCAACCACAGACTGCTTTATTTCATAGGGGACTGGACTCTTGCAGTGTAAATGAGGGTTTTGTGGGGGGCTTCAGTTTTGCAATTGCTCAGTTCAGATCTCGGGAAAGTCAGGGACTCTTTAAATATAGCTCTCTCCTTGTACTGAGCATCTGGTATTTTGCATCTTCTCCCAAGTTATTGAGACTCAGAGCAACTGTGCCCGGTTAACCAAAATTCAGTAGGCTATTCAGAGCTGGATTGAATTCTCAGAAGACCTACAACGTTGCACAATAGGGGCGTCATCCTTTGAAATGAATGAATTCCACCGAGCTGCCACTGTCCTATGAAATATGCACAATCGCCCCGCAGTGAGTGTGTTCACTCCTTTTGCTCAACTTGAGTACAACATTTCAATATTTTTCAAAGGCTGGAGACGCTTGCACGGAAAGGCATTCTGCCTCCAAATTCTGCAGGAGCATCTTGCTGTTATTTCTTTGTTTAAAGGCAGAGGTGATTCGCCCCTGCTGTTTCTTTCTCCCTCCAGATTCTTCAAGGCATATTTCACTTGGGGCTGACCTTACAGTGTCATTCGTGGACTTGCTCTTTGGCCTGAAACTGTACTTAATCTGCTGGTTTAGTTATTGCAAAGATTGAATCAGCCCCTCACCAATTACTGTGTGGCTGTGAGCGTATTTAAGTGCAGTATCATTGTTCCGCTGGACAGAGGTCATCCCTTTAAGACACGGCAGCCTCCGTTTTCCTGCCTTTCTACCAGAGGTGACATGGGTGACGACTTTTTATGCAGCCATCCTTGTCCATATCCTAGGAAGCTCCAAGTGGTTTTTATAAGGCTGCTTCCATGAGCCACCCTCAGAAATACGGTGTGAACTCAGCTTACTGTGGGGCACTGTGAAATCTACACAGTGCATCAAGTTCCTTTTGATGTCTCAGAATATAGAGTTCATGTCTCCTAGCTCTATGTTGACCCAAGGAAAAATGTCTTTGCAAAAACTGATCAAATGTAAAGATGCCATTACTATAGAGGACTCTTGAGAGAATTCTACAGGATGCTATTTGGGGTCATTTAACCAACATAAGCAAGCCTGTTTATTGTCTCCAGGAACCTACTTTAAACTAGGCAAATGGAAGAAGGGAGCTTCAGGGGGTCTTTACCTTATCATTTTCATGGAAATGATGGTAGTACAGTGCAGATTGACATAATTAGTGCCTTGGCATAATGGGCACTTTTTTTTTTTTTTTTTTTTTTTTGGTAAATGCTATTAATGATGGCCTAATCTTACTGCCTTATCTCAGCTGTCACATTATGTAACTAAGGTTCCAAATTAAACATTTAAAAGAAGCCGGCAACCAGGCTTATGGCTTGATTTTGCATTTGAAGGTTATGGTTTAAATACCAGTCCAACCCCATAAAGGCCTGTTATAGCTGCTAATAAAAGTTTGGTTCCTACCCATTTGGGAGAACCTAAGTATTTGTTTTGTTTTTCATGCTCTGTCCACCATCTTGGAATTTGATCTCTTCTACAAAGGGTACTGGCTATTTCTTGAAGCTGCCGTGAATGTTTCTTTCTTTTTTTTTTTTTAAAGAAATTTCTGTGTCCATTCAGTTTCTCATCAGTGGAGCAGGATAACAGATTGAGGGTGTTGAGCAAAAAAATCCCCTTTTATTTTTCAAAAAATGCAACTTGAAGGAAGAAGGAGATTGTAAATAATCTTAACTCATGAGCACTGGTGACCGGAGCCCGCAGCCTGATGCTTCAGAACACAGCCTGCCCGTTACATAACACAGAGTGTTTATGTTAGCCACTGCAACATGTCTATTACTCTCTGTGAAATTTTTGAGGCTTTACTTGGTTTCTGCTGCCCACAGCCTGGGTGTTAAAGTTGACTCAGGGCATTTCGGATTCCTAATTGAATGGACCTCTGAGGTCACTGCTCGTAGGTCATCATTTGACCATATCAGGGTGTGATTTGTGGTCTCTGGAGATAATGAAGTATTCATTCTTAAATTTTAGGTTATAGTGGTAGCAGCCGTGCCGTCTTCCTGAGATGCCTCATTATGGTTCATTCACAACGTTACTGTTACTTTGCTTCCTCGCCCCGGGTTAGCACCAGCCCTCTGAGGTTCTCGCTGTCCTTGTTGGACTCACCGATTTCTTTCGGTTTTTGATCCTAAGAGCCTGTGTGCCTGGATGGGTTTGGGAAGGTCTGTGAGTCCCCTTAAAATGAATCTCCTATTGTGCGTGCATCGGAGACTGGGCATTGTCAGCGAAGAGGGGACAGAGCTCTTACCAGCTTCTCCTGTGGGACCCAAAAAAGGTCAACGGTGTTCTAAGTCAACATCTTCCGTCTCTGAAGGGGAGGGAGGCCCAGTGACCCTGAGTGCTTTAGCCATCTTATCCAGATTATTGGGGGCCAAGCCAGGATTAGAGCCTCGGTGTGGTGATTTCTAGGCCACGCTGCAAAATGGGGATCAAGGAGAGGATGTTCTAACTAATGAAAAAGATTTAAGAAGCTAAATGGTGGTATGCCCGTAGCACTGAGTGTTGTTGGAGCATTCCTGGCCTCCAGTGCTTTCCAGCAAAGCCCCTCATGCCTGCCCCTCACTCCTGCAGGCACAGAACAGAGTCATGTGCCCACATTCCCAGGCAGATAGGAAAACCACATTCCAAACCCAGGGATTTGTAGTCCTGATTTAGTGGAGGTCTTAAAATGAATGAAAGCTTTTTCTTATGACCTCAAAAATTCTCGGTAGTGTTAATTCCTCTTAGGTTGCTTTCAGAAAGGTATCGGAGATGGATTTTCTTTTTAAACAACCCCACAATGAGGTGGCATTTCACAGGCTAATTTTGATTCACAGAAAATCATTGCATAACTGATTCATTGAGCTAGATAGCCGTGCAGGAAATAGAGAAGCGTGTCTGCTTTCCTATTACAGCCTGTGTCCTATTCCTAATTCTGCCGCTGGGGCTTGATTTGACTTGCTCCCTGAGCCTCGATTTGCACATCCGTAAAACGAAGGTACTGAATTAGATAACCCTAAGGCAGAGTCTACGTTTTTCACTGTTAATTGCTCCTGTCTTACAGTGCTGTGCAACGCAGTCGCAGAGCATAAAATATGTTGTCCACAATCGCTGTAGTGGTACAGAGATGTCCATTTCTGCTCCGTTTTG